AAGATGAGAGCAGAAATAAATGATATAAAAACTAAAAACAACAACAACAACAACAAAACACTAAACAATAGATCAATGAAACTAGGAGTTGGTTCTTTGGAAAAATAAATAAATAAAATTGATAAGCCTCTAACCAGATTTATCAAGAAAAAAAAAGTTTGGCGGGGGGGCACCTGGGTGGCTCAGTGGGTTAAAGCCTCTGCCTTTGGCTCAGGTCATGATCTCAGGGTCCCGGGATCGAGCCCCGCATCAGGCTCTCTGCTCAGCGGGAACCCTGCTTTTCCCCTCTCTGCCTGCCTCTCTGCCTGCCTCTCTGCCTACTTGTGATCTCTGTCAAATAAATAAATAAAAATCTTTAAAAAAAAAAGGAATCAAGTAAATAAAATCACAAGTGACATAAGAGAAATAATCAACACCACAGAAATACAAAGGATTATACAAAAGTATTATGAAAAACTATATGCCAAAAATTGGGCAATTCCTAGAAACATATAAACTACCAACACAGAAACAGGTAGAGGTAGAAAATTTGAACAGACCAATAACCAGCAAAGAAATTGAATCTGTAACCAGAAAATCTCAGCAAACAAAAATACAGGGCCAGATGGCTTCACAGGCAAATTCTACCAAACACTTAAATAAGAGTTACTACTTATTCTTCTCAATTATTCCAAAATATAAAAAAGGAAAGAAAACTTCCAAATTCATTTTATGAGAACAGATTTAACCTGAAACCAAACCCAGATAAAGACCCCACTGAAAGGAGAACTACAGGCCAACATCCCTGATGAACATAGATGCAAAAACTCAATAAAATACTAGCAAACCAAATCCAACAACACATTAACTGAAAGTTACCAGAAGGGGGTAGTGGGGGGCTGGATAAGAATCAGGTTTTGCATGGAAATGTTGAATCACTATATTGTACACCTGAAACCAATATGACACTTTAGGGTAACTATCTGAATTTAAATAAAAACTTTCTAAAAAAGTGGGTTGCATTCCCTGCCTTAGTTTTTACACAGTGATCTTATAAAACACAAGACTAAAGACCATGTATGTGTGTGACTGTGTGTGTATAGGAAGGCAGTATAAACAAGTGAGTGATGGAGATCTATAAATTTGGGGTTTAGAAATTAAAGGAATATAGAAATCAAAACCCCTTTTACTCCTGTTTTTTAATCAGCCTTTAACTGTAGTACACTCTAATCATTCCAAATTTGATCCTCAGCAGCAGTAGCAGCCTGCTTAGAGAAAGGGTCCATTAAACAAAATCAGGATGTAGTCAGGGAACTTTCTTTAACTAGGAGGAACATTTTCCATTAAGGACTGAAACTCAAAGTGTTCACACTGACTTAGAAACATCTCTATGCTAGTTCACAGGTCCCAGCGAATCTCATGGTTTACCTGTTTAACTAAGATATCATCTATCTATCTATCATATATATATGTGTGTGTGTGTGTGTGTGTGTGTGTGTGTGTGTGTTTTCTCCTTATTTCATTCGTTCCATTCGGATAACTCTATGTTTTAAACATAAATCACCCGAACTTGATTCCCTTCCTTTGAGAGAAGTCCAAATAGAGCTTGTGTTGCTAACTAAAAGTTATAGAGAAGTTGTTTTATTTATTTATTTATTTATTTATTTATTTATTTATTTTTAAAGATTTTTATTCATTTGGGCCACCTTGGTGGCTCAGTGGGTTAAAGCCTCTGCCTTGGGCTCAGGTCATGATCCCAGGGTCCTGGGATGGAGCACTGCTTGGGGCTCCCTGCTCAGCAGGGCATCTGCTTCTTCCTATGCCCCTCCCCATTCATGCTTGTGTGCTCTCTCTCTCTCCCTGAAATGAATAAATAAAATATTTTTAAAAAAATGTTTTTTAAAGATTTTATTTATTTTAAAGATTTTATTTATTCATTTGAGAAAGAGGGAGAGCATGAGCATGGTGAAGGGCAAAGGGAGAGGAAAAAGCAGAGTCCCTACTGAGCAGGGAACCTGACACTAGGCTCAAATGACCTGAGCCTAAGGCAGTCTCTTAATTGTCTGAGCAGCTCAGATGCCCCTGAGTCTCTTTCTTAAAACTTTGCCAAACCTAGATTTAGTAAGTTTTATTTAAACTTTCGTTAATTTTCTTCAAAAATAATCAGGAAAAAATGGAAACTAATTTCAAAGAAAGCTTACCTTCTCTAAAAATGAAACAATTTTAACTTGTATTTTCAGACTTCTCAAATGAAAGATTAGTGACCAGGTTTAACACATATTTGGGGCCACCTCAAATAGTGATAAAATAAAAACAGAGTGGATGGACACACCTCTGCAATGTCTATAGAGGTCCCCAAATAACACAAGTATTATTTACTTATATAGATAAACTTCAATCTCAATAAGGAAAACAATTTAATCAAAACAGACAGTAGGGGAGCCTGGGTGGGTCACTTGGATGAACATCTGACTCTTGATTTTGGCTCAGGTCCTGATCTCAGGGTCATGAGCTTGGGCCCTGCCTGGGGCTCCATTCTGGGCTTGAAGTTGGCTTGGAATTCTCTCTCTCTCTCTTCCTCTGCCCCGTTCCCCTCCCTCTCTTAAAAAAAAAAAAAGGATGGTAAATAAGTGAAAAGAAAGAAAGAAAGAAAACACCAATATAGATCAACCATTTTATATAAATAAACATGTGAAAATCAAGCATATTAATATTGGAGTTAGGAGATGTGGTTATAAGTAGTCATGCAAAACATCTACCAACAAACCGGGAAACACACCAGTCATGCCAACTTTCACAGTATCTCCATCTTAAGTGGAGATTAGAAAACAAGTAAAATTGAAAATATTAAAGTTATCTTACAAAATGTAGACATTATCCCTTGGTTAAGATCAAGGATTTTTAGAGTAAAATTTTTTTTTTGTCTTTCCTCAAAAGAAAAATAATCTGACATCCTATTGCAGAAAAGACACTGTCTAATTTGATTTGGTTACTCACTGAAAGTTTCTTCCAAATTGTCATTGCTTCCCTAACTGCAACTTGAGGGTTTTGTACCTTACATAGGTAAGAAGTAGAGTATAGGAGCCTCCAAAAAACAGGACTGAATTAATTGTTCTCATGTCTTCAAGTCCTAGGGAGGTGAACTTTATTTTTTAATACCAAATAACTTGAGAAATCCTGTGATCCCCATAATATTTCTAGGGCCTTCTAGGAAGAAGAGGAGAGTCATAAGAATGGACTTTTATCATATATCATTTTGCTTTCTGGATTCCTTCTTCCTTAATTGAGTTTTAATTACTATTCACTACTTTATCTTTTGAAATATCCTCTATCTACTTACTCCCCCAAATGTGACCAGAGCTTTCCATTTCATTCCTCCAAACACTACCACTGTCTGCAAACTGTACATTATAAATCTTATGAAAGCTTTATGGACTGTATTTTTATAGCACTATATAGAGCAGGATTAAAACTGACTTTGAAAAGTGGTTTAAATCCTCATGACCACTCTGCATACCAAGACCTTATATTTATTAGCCATGTGTCCTGTTCCTGGCCTGATTATATGTTCTGGGCTCCTTTCCCTCCTATGCCTTGCTCTGTGAATTACAAGTATGTGCAAACATCCCAAATTAATTTTTTAAAGTATTTATATTTTTTAAAGTATTGTTTTATGTTAGTCACCATACAATACATCATTAGTTTTTGATGTAGTGTTCCATGATTCTTTGTTTGCATATAACACCCAGTGTTCCATGCAATACATGCCCTCCTTAATACCCATCACTAAGCTCATCCGTCCCCCAAATCCCTCCCCTCTAAAACCCTCAGTTTGTTTCTCAGAGTCCATAGTCTCTCATGGTTCGTCTCCCCCTCTGATTTCCCTCCCCTTCATTTCCCCTTCCTTCTCCTAATGTCCTCCATGTTTTTGAATTCCAGTTTGTTAACATACAGTGTAGTATTAGTTTCAGGTGTACAATACAGTGATTCAGCACTTCTGTACATACATCACTCAGTGCTCATCACAAGTGTATTCCTTAACTCCCATCACAAATTCATTTTGTTTGATTTTGAAGAAGTACCATTTCATTTGAGCCAATCATTTCTGAACTGTACTTGTCCCAAAAAGCTTTCCCTTTCCTAGTGGGGGGAGAAAAAAACCATCAAACTGTCTTCCCAACAAAAAAAAACAAATAAAAGCAATACCCACCCTGAGAGAAATTCATGTATCATCCGGAACAAAGCACAATCAATTTTCAAATTGGAAATGTTTTCTTGTTTTTTGTCTTATGGAAACAACAAGTAATGGAATAAAGTAGAAACAAAGTACACTACAAACAGTGGTAGGCTTGAAGTCAGAAGACGAAGAATTTAGTCTAGACTTTTTCCTTCAGAAGACAGAGAATTGTAGGTCACTAGCCACTTTCAGCTTTACTTTTCAATCCATGGAATAAACATATTTTGACAACCCTGTTATGTGCAGGGTTGACCATGCAAAGCTAAGAAAACTCTTTGGAAAAGAAGATATGATGCACAGTGTTTATAGATGCAAAGTCATTTCTACTTGACAGTCCTTATGGAAACTTCCATCTCTGTCATGAAAGGGGACACATTCTTGTTCAGTGAATGCTGGAAGGTTGAGAGTAGGAAAACATTGTCCCCTTCATGCTGCCAAGGCAAGGGGCAGAGACAGTACATCATTCAAATGTTCCTTGATCTGATCATTTGTAGACAAATCTTCTATTTCCAGAAAGAAAAATATAAGTTCAAATGATAGAGCAAAAAACCTGATAATAAATTTTTTCTTAATAGTATTGCCAAATGAAAAAAAGAGAGAGGAAAGTGTGCCAATCGTGAAGAGAGACCTACTCTACAAAAAGCAAAAATAAATTATTGAGAGAAGATTCAACTTTTCTTCAACATGATAAGAAAGGAATAGGATAAGCAGAATGCCAATAAAGTTACTGTAATTAAAAACAGGAGCTCTCTGTCCTGTGACTACCTGGTGACACGGTTTCTGATCAAAACACTCTCCTACTCACAATTTTTCTCACAGCAAGTTTAACATCTTTGTTTCTCAAGCTGTAAATGAAAGGGTTCATAATGGGAACCACATTGGTATAAAAGACAGAGGAGATTTTCCCCCTACTCATAGACCCAGCAGAAGATGGTTTAAGATACATAAAAGCAAAGGAGCCAAAGAAGAGGAAAACAGCAATTATGTGGGAACTGCACGTGCTGAAGGCTTTGGACCTGCCCTCAGTGGAGCTGATGCGCAGGATGCTGGACAGGATGAAACCATAAAAGACAAAGATGGTGACACTGGGCACAATTACATTGACGCCCGCCACAATAAAAACCACCAGCTCATTGACATAGGTGCTGGTGCAGGAGAGCTGGAGCAGAGGGAGAATGTCACAAAAATAATGGTTGACAGTGTTTGCATCACAGAAGGTCAGTCTCAGCATGCATCCTGTGTGAGCCGTGGCACCTGAAAATGCCATCAAATATGAACCAAGCATAAGGCTGGAACATACTTTAGGGGACATGGCAACATTATATAAGAGTGGGTTACAGATGGCCACATAGCGATCATAGGCCATTGATGTCAGCACATAACATTCAGAAATAGCAAAAAAGCAGAAAAAGTAAAACTGGGTCATGCATCCCCTGTAGGAGATAATATTCTCCTTTGATGTGAAGTTAATCAGCATTTTGGGTGTAAACACAGAAGAATAACAGAGGTCTGTGAAGGACAAATTGAAGAGGAAAAAGTACATGGGGGTGTGCAGGTGTGAATTGAGCCCTATTAGAATTATCAAGCACAAATTTCCCAACATAGTGACCATATACATGACTAGAAACAGACTGAAGAGGGGGAGCTGGAGATATGGAAGGTCTGTGAGCCCCGCCAGAATGAATTCAGTCACAAAGGAAGCATTTCCATGAGCCATTCTTCTCTAAGGCGATCTGTGAGCACAGAAAAATAGGGTTACATAAGGAAACAACTCAGCTCTCCTTGCAAGATCTTGTACTAAGGAGAGTGTATACACTGGAAGTGCCTGAGACTAGCCCAACCTAGACACATAGAATCTGTCTTTACCACTATCATGATCCTGAGGGACACTAATTAATTTTCCCTTTACTAAAGCCTTTATAAGCTAAATTTAGCAAAGCACATCACAAATTTAACCTAGAGAGGCAAGTTCATTGAAATTGGTCTCTGGAAACATGACTCCTGAAAAAATCAAGGGAGAAGGGAGAAGCTGGGACCAGAACAGAATCATCCTTCTCACCATTTCTTCATTCACTTGACCCTCTCCTTACCAGGAAAATTAGAGGCAGAATCCTTAGTAACCCTGTGCTGGCCTCAAATGCAGATTACACTTGATGGAGTGAGAATTAAGAGTACTCTTTGTTACCTAAATGAGGGACCAGGGTCTAGGGGTTGAGTTACTGCCCCATGTCACAGAGTAAAAACCATAAATCTGGAAGAGTGAGAGTTCCATCCAGAGAGGGGGAATTTACTGATGGAGATACTGCATCCCCTGTGCCCCTAATCTCTGAACATTCTCTTTCTTATCTCCCTCAAACACATTCTCTTGCCAGCTTGACTTGAATGTCAATACTGCACAAAATGGGAAAGAAAGTGGCATAGCTCAGACCTCTGAAATTCCATCTCAAAAGCAGGAATGTGTTATTATAAATGGAATTCAGATACTCACTCAGCCTCCTTAGGTCAGAAAGCCTCAGAGCTCTCTTATCCTTGGTATTTACCCCTCTCCTGGGGTAATTTACCTTTACCCCTGTCCTGGAAAGACAATTTCAGGCTCAGAGGCTTTGATTCTAAGAGGATTCAGCCTGACTCAAATTCAGATATACCCTTGAAATCCTTCTGAACATACTTTCTGATTATGACTTTGAATCCTCTTGAGAAGCAGAGAAAAATAAAGCCTTTATTATTACCACATTTACTACCTGATTGGACATAGATTTAAAATGCATTTAAGGATATAACACACTTGGTTATAAACAGGGTAGAAGCTTGCTCAGCCTTTCCCTCAGGGAACAGATTTTATGTGTAAACAAATAAAGAGATTGTGTACCCTGGGCCATGACATGTCTTTAGTTCCTTAGGGACTCAATAGTTCACCCATCTTCATTTCACTCTAGGGATTATACATCCCTAGATTCAAAGTCCCTTCTTCCCCTTGCCTTTATCTCTGAATGGAAATCTACAGTGTTGTTTCATCCCTTCTTTGTTCACATATCCTAAATGGGCTTTTTTTCTGCAAGGGTTCTGCCTCTAAGAAATAAGGACTTCTTATTTCTTAGTCTCAAATTTTTTAAAGATTGCAATAACTCAGTTGTTCTCTCTCCTGGAATATCTCTAAAATAATTTTCAATTCTGTATGTTCCTTCTCATGTTTATACTTTTAATCACCTACTGGAAATTTCTACCAGACCCGCTTATTAGCATTTTATGCAACACTTCAGTAACTGGGGTTATCAATTTCTTTTCATCATAGAAAAGAGTAGAGGCAATGGAGGTAGAGGTTATGTGTATGAAGCCCATCTTCCTACTTCCACTCTTATTCCCAATAATACCTTGGACAAGTTAGTTAACTTCTGTTTCTCTGGTTCATTTTTGTATAATAAGGATGACAAAAATAGCATTTCTTTCTTTGGGTTGTTGTGTTAATTAAATCTTTGTTTTATGTTTTTAAAGTTTTTATTTAAATTCCATTTAGTTAAACTGCAGTGTAATATTCATTTCAGGTTTACAATATAAAGATTCAACAATTCCATACAACACCTGGTGTTCAACATGCCAGGTTCACTCCTTCATCCCTATCACCTAATGCACCCATCCCCCCACCCACCTCCCCTCTAGGAACCATTAGTTTGTTCTCTATAGCTAAGAGTCTGTTTCTTGATTTGTCTCTTTCTCTCTCTCTCTTCCTTTAATAATGTCATTAGAACAGTGCCTGCATATAATGATAGTCAATAAATGTCAGTGGTCATTATTTATACCCTTAGGAATACATCATAATACTCATCAGACTTTTTTTCCCCCCCTTAATTTCTATGTTCCCCTATAAACTGTAAGTTCTATAAGGACAAACATCTCCTCTGTCTTGCTTAGTACTTTTCTCCTGTGGTTAAGATCAGTGCAGAGCATATAGAAGAAATTAAATAAATATTTCTGAAAATCATGTTGTTATTTGGATGCAAATCTTCAGAAAACATTCCACATTTCTCACCTTCCAAGAAACAATGCCTATGACCATAGTGACTTCTATCCTTGTCCCTCAGCCACCACACAGGCTCTTTGAGTTTAACTGAACTGTACTGCTAAACTGTAGTACCTCTTACTATTCTAGCATTTTCCCACATAGTACCTCTTATTCAGCCATGTGCACTGCTGCTAGAATAATCTTTGAAAGCAAAACTCTGTCCCTCCTTAGTTTAAGAACTTTCAGTGGTTTTCCATTACCCATTCGGCAATCAATATTTTGTAATAAAAGTGTAAGTCTGAAAATTATGTTTAATTCTTGGAAAAAATTAAAGAAGAAATTGAGTCAGAACTCTACTTAGTAGGAAGACTTGAAAGAATTATTTTGATTAAGTGTTTTGCACACATTAAGTGTTATACAAACTTCTGGCATTTCCACAAATAAAATAAAAAAAATATTGGAGAATGTTTATATTTCTAAGACCATAGGGTATAGTGAACAAAGATCATAGTCCAGGGGAACCAAAGATAATAGTTAAAATTTAAGTTTAAATCTGCACAAACTTACTATCTCCTCATGATAAATTAGTTTCTCTCCTCAGTGTTTTCCAAAAGGGAATAATAATTTCATGACAATGGTCATTTATTTAAGTACCATATTTTTTATTTAATATCCTGGGAAGGTAACCTTCAACCTGTGTTACTAGTTAGAAAGTTTCTAGCTTCGAGTTGCAGAATGCTCAATTAAAAACCCATTTTAAACAGGAGCTTGTTTCTCTCACCTAGCTTAAAACTAGATTATCCTAGGTTTGGGTCAGCAACTAATCATTCTCATCAAGAATTCAATCTCTTCCATTTCCCCATCCTCATTTGTTGGCCTTCCTTCTTGGGCTTGGTATCTCATGGTCACGGAACAGTCGCCATAGCTCCAAGAATGACATCTAAACACCAATATATCCAAAGAAGAAAGCAAGGAACAAAGCAAAAGAATTCTTTCACATTATCTCCTTGTAGTATAAAGTAAATCATCTCCAGATGCCAATAGATTATGTCCTTAATGGCTTCGCAGTCATACGGCTATGCCACATGGCCAACAAAACTGCAAGGAAAACTGACAAAAATAAGAATCTCCCATTTTCAGCCTCTATCAAAGAAAAGGAAGCTTCTGTCATTAAGAATATTTGGAGGAGTAATACCTATTGGATAGAGCATCAACACAATCTGCCACCTATGAAGAGTTTGTAAAGGTATTTAGAACAGGGATTGTGTTTGTTTGTTTGTTTTAAGATTTTATTTATTTATTTGACAAATAGAGATCACAGGTAGGCAGAGAGGCAGGCAGAGAGAGAGGGGAAGCAGGCTCCCTGCTGAGCAGAGAGCCCAATGCTGGGCTAGATCCCAGGACCCTGGGATCATGACCCGAGCCGAAGGCAGAGGCTTTAACCCACTGAGCCACACAGGGCCAGGATTGTGTTTTTCAGTTTAAATATAGAAAAAATTGTTATTTTTTAAAGTAAATTCACTGTTTTAAGCTTTAAATCAACCCAATTGCCTCAAGATAGTCAAATCATGTTGTAAATGTATTTGTGTGTAGTTGTGTTTGTGTGCAGATAAATAAACTCATATAAATATATATTTACACATACACTACTTATATGTATGTGGTGAAGAGAGGAGGAACATCATTCTGTAACATGCGAGAGTCCTATTAGTAAAAAAGCATCAGACACTGAATGTTTCAAACTGCATAAAATAGAGTGTCTCCAAGCAGAAAACAAGAACTCATGCTACCATATGTGTGTGTGTGTGTGTATGTGTGTGTGTGTGTGTGTAACTTCTTTTTCATGGCAACTCCTAAATGAGAGATGGAACAGATTGCCAGGCACTAAGTATCTGATGGATCATAATTAAGATTATACCTTTGAAATTTTAATTTTAGGTTTCCTTGAAGTGTCTTCTTAGTTTTCTATCTCTTATTTAGAATCTTCCCAATATATTGTATAATATTTGAAACTGCTAGACTAACCAAATTAGGTAAGAGAAGGGAAATTTCATTATGCAGAATTTTGGAAAGGGATCTAAGGTAAACAGAAAATTTTATTAATTATATAAATTGAGGATTAAATTCTTGCTAAGAAATTCTGCAACACGGAGCCACTGGGTGGCTTAGTCAGTTAAGCATCTGTCTTTGGCTCAGCGTCCTGGGATTGAGTCCTGCATGAGGTTCCTTTTGCCTCTGATATTTGTTAGGTCATGGATTCTCTAAACAGCCTAGAACATAACTAATGATAAAGGAGGGAAAGAACACTGGGTGTCTTGATTTGCCTACAGTATCTTTTGGGGGAAAAAATTTTACTAGCTGCTTTTAGGAGATAAACTGTAGGAGGCATTGGATGAAGCAGGCATTTAATTAGGAGGGTCTTGTGTTAATGCAAGTCAGAGACAATAGTTTCTCAAATCAAGGTGGTAGTGTCATAGTTGTGATATATGGGGTATTATATGTCTATACTGTATATATGCTTTATGTGTATGTATATATTATGTATTACGTTTTAATCCAGTACTCCATTTCACTTAGTAAAAGTCCAACTTTCACAATGACCAACAATTTCCACCATGATCTTGTCCCTCATTACATGTCTGTCCTCAGCTCCTTCAACTCTCTCTATTATTCCTTCTATTTAATACAGTATTCCTTTCTGTATTCTCAAACATGCCAGAAGTATCACCTTATCACCTTTTGCACTGGACAGTAAACTTCCTTAAAAGGATA